CTCTTGTAACTTCTAAAGAATCTTTAGGAGTAACAATAATAAGGGTAAATTTTTTTATTATTCCACATTCTGGTTATTCCACCTCTCTTGTATGGTTCAGATTTTGTCACCTCACCTAATGACAAAGCTGAACTGTTTGCTAAAAACTTTTCATCAAAATCATCTCTTGATTCCACTAATTGCGTTCTACCTGATATTGCTGACAAACAGGTTGATCCATTGCTTTACATTCGTATTACTCCAGCTTCTGTATCTAAAGTGATTTCCTGCTTAGACTCTACAGCTTGTGGTCCAGACAACATACCTGTTATAGTCTTGCAGAAGTGTTCTCCAGAGCTTTTGTCTATCCTTTCAAAACTATTCAACAAGTACTTTTCAGAGTCTTGTTTTTTAGCAGGCATCTGTTATCCCTATTAAAATTCTGGGGAGCAATCTGACTTGACTAACTATTGTTCCACTAGTCTTCTTCCTATCATAAACAAAGTTTTTAAATCTTTAATTAACAAACACTTAATCTCTCATCTTGAATCTTATAACTTACTTTCTGATCATCAATATCTTCTCGTTCTACAGCCAATTTACTTACAGTAATAACCGATAGGTTTTATTGTACATTAGATAGAGGTGGAGAGGTTAAGACTATAGCTCTTGACATTTCTAAAGCTTTTGATAAAGTTTAGCATGCTGGTCTTCTCAATAAACTTTCTTCTTACAGTGTATCAGGTAACATCTTTAAGATTATTGAACCCTTTCTTTCCAATCGTAGTATAAAAATTGCCCTCAATGGACAACACTCTTCTTCATATCCTGTAACTTTAGGGCTTCCTCAAGGTTTTTTCTTTTTAATTTACATTAACAACCTTCCATATATTCTCACATCTAAGGTGGCATTATTCGCTGATGATACTATCATTTATTCTTATCATGATAAGAAGCTAACTCTCTCTGATTGCTTGAAGGGGGCATTTAAGCATGAAAAGGATCTCACTTCTGCTACAGCATGGGGCTCACAGATTAACTCTTACTTCTGATCTTTCTTGGAAACCATATATTAAATCCATTGCAAAATTAGCATCTGCTAAAGCTGCATCTCTTTATTGAGCTCAACACTTTTTTACCCTAGATTCTATTCTCTATATCTTAATAAATCTCAAATCCGGCCTTGTATGCAATACTGTTGCTGTATCTGGGGCGGATATTCTAATGATACTCTTTCTCTTTTAAACAAGATGCAAAAATGCATTTAAACATAGTTGGACCTGCTCTTGCAGCCAACTTTCAATCATTATCACATTATTGTAATGTTGCTTCTCTTTCTCTATTCTATAAATACTATAATGGGCACTGCTCTAAATAGCTAGCATTTCTTGTTCCATCTACTAAAATTCATTCTTGTGTTACTCGTCATTCAATTAAGTCTCATCCTTTTTCTGTGACTATTCTTAAGTGCTCCAAAAACTTTAGTTTATCTGTGTTTTTTTCGTCGAACATCAGTTCTTTAGAATTTTCTTCCTATATCTTGCTTTCCTGATTCATATAATTTGCAATCTTTCAAGTCGTCTGTAAATCCTTATCTTGCTCTATAAACTTTATTTTTTCTCTTCCAGTAACTTCCAAATTTAATACTGGTTGCTTCTAGTCTTGTTGGAAGCAAAGATGTTGAAAAAAAAAAGTAGAATATGTTATAAAATAACCTTTGATTTTGAACAACTTGACTCTAAGTCATATGAAACAAAGATCATATGAAACAAGATTTGCAAAAAAGTGGAAATGCCTATCGAGTACTGAATGAAAGTAAGTTGGAGCAATAATATTTAAGAGAGTTTTTACTGAATTATCATATATGCATTGGTATCCTGTAGATGCTAAGTTTGTTGGACCAGTTAAGAGAAAAAAAAAAGCATTTCTTTGACTAAGGATGGTTATTAAATAACAAAATAGCTTGCTGGTAATTCCAAGAACCAAGTGCAACTCTATTATTGACAAAATGTCAAGAACTTTTGTTTCTTCAAGGACAGAGATGTGCATTATTGAAGCTGAGCCTTATCCAAGAAAAACATTCGTATGTTTTATGTCCACTGGTGGTTAGAAAAAATTGCTTGAAGTTCTCATAAGTTCTTTTACAAATTTATAATTGCCAATAAAACGCAATAAAATCCAAATTTAACCTGATACTATTGGATGCGCAGCAAAAAGTCTGGCAGAAGTTAGGAAAGGCATACTTAAGTTGCATGAGAGGAAAAGTAAAACACGGTAGTGGAAATGTCATGGTGTGGGGATCATTGGCTTGGTGATGAACTGGCAAATTGATTTTCATCAAATCAATTATGAAAGCTAATTTGTATTTTAATTTTGTATACAAACATTTTTAAGCAAAATTCGAAGCCTTCTCCACATAAATTTAGATTTAGAAACAATTTCATGTTTCAACTGAACAATGACGTAAAACATACTACAATTCCAACAAAAATAATTTCGAATGAATGATATTAATGTGATGGAAAGGCCTGCTTAGTCTTTCAACCTTACTCTCATGGAGCTTTTGTGGTACATTCTAGACCGGAAAATATATATATATATATATATACAGGCCTCAGTGGGAGTAAATGAGGGCGAGAGCAGAGGAAAGCACTTCTAAAACAAACATAAAGAGCCATGCAAGCTGCTCCTCTAACCAGCTTCTTAGAAGAGCTTTTGGTTTTTGTACAAGCTATCTGTTTACTCATTTAAAAAAATAGATTATTAAAAACAAATTTTGGTTTTATATTTGTTACATGCATATGTTGGTAACGTTGATGTTACAAGAATATATACATAATAACTTAGTATAATAATTTAGTGTGAAAAAATTCATTAGACGAGCGTTAGCTTTGGGTTTTCACACTAATTATCCATTTATTTATTAACAACATTACTTATTTGATAAAGAATTTGTCAAAGAGCCATAAAAAATTTATGAAAAATCTTTTTTATTTTCTTATTGTAATAGGAATGCAGGCAATTTAAGAATTATTACAACAAATTAAAATTCCGCAATAAAAATGAATAATATATTTTAGTAAATAATATATAAAATATACAATTCATTACATAAAATAAAACTTGTCATGCAATAATTTAGACTGTAACAATTTTATATTTATCAGTTAGGCCAATCTAATCAAAATATTTGAATTTAAATCGACACTCTTTTTTAATTTTCTTGCAACAACTGTGCCTTTTAAAAAGCATTGCAGTTTATTATGCAATTATTTTTTATAAAAATGATTTTGTGTTTTTTCATTTTATTTACAATGATAATTATAATATTGAGAAAAAAATTATACTTTGTGAAAGCCGTAAATTACTCCTGTAAACAGTTTTACAGGAGTGTGGGCAAGAGCGAGAGTTAAAGCTCACGGTTACCACAGATATATATATATATATATATATATATATATATATATATATATATATATATATATATATATATATATATATATATATATACATATATACTTATATATATATATATATGTATATATATATATATATATATTTATATATATATATATATATGTATTATATATATATATATATATATATATATATATATTTATATTTATATTTATATTTATATTTATATTTATATATATATATATATATATATATATATATATTTATTTATATATATATATATATATATATATATATATATATATATATATATATATATGTATATATGTATATATATTTATATTTATATATATATATATATATATATATATTATATATATATATATATATATACATATATATATATATACATATATATATACATATATATATATATATATATATATATATATATATATATATATATATATATATATATATATATATATATATATATATATATATATATATATATATATATATATATATATATATATATATATATATATATATATATATATATATATATATATATATATATATATATATATATATATGGTGGAATGCAGAAGTTAGTAGAGTTTTAGAAAATAAAAAAGAGGAAATGTTATAACAAGCAGAAAAAAAAAAATAGGAAAGGAAACAGGCAAACAGGAAAATAGTACTGCTTGGCTAAACACAAAGCAAAACAAACCATATACAAAAATGTCAAAAAAAAGTACTTACAAACAAAGTTAAAATAAAAATAAGGTAGATGACTTATTTCGAAAAATTGCTAAGCGAAAAGATTAGTGGACCAGCTAAGCTGATAACCTTTAGCGAAGTTAAGTTAGCTATTAAAAAATTTATTAAGGCAAGGTTACTGGTTCTTCTATTGTATTGCCTAAAATGTTGAAGACTTCTGGAGATGTGGATGCAGTCTGCAAAATTAAGGTCGGCATTCAGCAATACCGACACAAAAGCCAATCTATCTTTGCTTTGCAGTGGTATTTAACTGCTAACCTGAATTTCTTAAAGTCTTGGATTGAAAAAATAAATATATGTAAAAAATATGTAATATTTGTTTATTATAAGTTCAAAATTTATTTAATTATTTTAATTACTTTGTTTTTAAGTTTGACAAGTTTTACTCAAAAAAAATTTAATTTTTTTCTAATTCATTTTTTAGTTTTTTCTCAAATTTATTCGAGCATTGCATGGTTATATTTAGGTTCTTTTTTTTTGAGATTATTATTATATTAAATTTTTATTGAATCTACTCAAAAAAAAAAAGCAACACGAAGCAAATTCAACGCAAGTCAAACAGTACATAAACTAAATTTGTATTTCTAAAAGGTTTAAAAAGGTAAACTTAAAAATTAATAAAAATTACTTTTAAAAGCTAAAGGATTATCTACATTCTCTCTTGTGCTAAACTATGTAAAAAATTTTCAGACACTCCAACTTATTATTCCAATATTAATACAAATCCAATATTATTCCAATATTAATACAAATCCAACTAACTCAAAAGATAAGTATGACAATATTATTTTTAATATATAAATATTAACAATTTAAAAAACCTGTTTTTTATAGAACACTTCAGGAAAATTTAAGTATGCTATTTCAAAAGAGTAATTACGCCCACGATTTGTTTCAAAACTATATTCCGAAAAATTATTATTGATTCCACTGCTTTCCATATCATCCATGAAACCATCTTGAATATCATGAAGTATATACGATCTTAAATCAACTGAAAAAAAAATTAATCATTACTTTATAATTCTTAAAAACTCAAAGAAATATTTTAAACTGCTCCAACAATTCCAAAAATACAAGATTAAAAAAAAGTTTAAAAAATGAAAAAAAGAAAGGATAACATAAGTAAATATATTTACATATATATTTATTAATATATATAAAAAAATATATATCTATATCATATATATCAGAGATGTACCCTCGTGGTCGTCTGGTGGCACGAGACGACTCGTTTTCTCTGAGAGTGACTGAAATGTAAAATAAAAGCATATCAGAACCCCAGCAGGACGACCAGACGGTTTGTTACTTACAAAAGTGTGTTTGTTAATAAAACCATATTTTTATCAATGAAGATTTTATTCTTTGCAATTATTTTAAGAAAACTTTGAAAAGTAATTAAAGCAGTTTAACAATGAGAACACTACGGTGTGTTATTTCACCAAACTTAATAAAAAGAAGCCAACACGCTATTTAATATTTTGGAGTGTGACTGTACTGTCTTTTTAAACATAGTTGTTGCATTTTGAAGCACGTTTCTTCTCTGTAAATTTAAAATGAGTTTTATAGTTACAGAATTACACATTTCTTCTCTTTAAATTTAAAATGAGTTTAAAATTACATTTTCTTTCATTTCCAAATGCATAATTTTTTTAACCTTATAATTGCATTTTGAATCAAGTGAATGGGCAGTTAATCATTAATAACACTGAATCTCTTTTTTTTTTATTAATAAAATAAATTTTTATTTTAACATTTGTCAAACGAAAATAACAAAATAAAAAAAAATTATTAGGATGCACGTGAAAAACTTATATTAGAATGCAATTAATGATGCACGTGGAAATTCTTTTTTTTTTTTTTTTTAAAAAAAAAAGTCTTAGTTTAATGAAAAATGTTTAAAACATTTAAAACATAAAGTTTTAAATGTTGAAAGCTAAAACTGCAAAGAAATGTTTTAAATATAGAATAGTATTCAATTTCTCTTTCAAGCTTCAATCAAATTTAATTTAGTTGAATGTTTAAAACATTTAAAACATAATGTTTTAAATGTTTTAAACATTCAACTAAATTAAATTTGATTGAAGCTTGAAAGAGAAATTGAATACTATTCTATATTTAAAACATTTCTTTGCAGTTTTAGCTTTCAACTTTTTTGCTTCACATTATAAAACCTTAGTTAAGACTGACAGAAAGATACAAAATGATATAAAAAAATCGATACAAAAAAACAAAATGATATAAAAATGACAGCACATTTTTAATTAATTTAAAAATTAATTAATTCACTTTTAAATAAACCGTTTCTTATTAGATGCATTTTATTAGCCAGACGATTACATTTTTTTCTTTAGTATTTTCACCTGAGAAAAAATACAAAAAAAAAAACTTTTACACCAGACTACTGATTATCATAACTGATGACTCAAATGAGAAATAAAAACTGTTTTAGTCGCCCAGGGCGACCAGGAAAAAAACGGAGGGTACACCACCATAAAATTTTTGTGTGGTTCATAAAATTTGGTAAAAACACCACAGCTGGTAAAAATCAGGTTTACATGATCACACTTCAAAACAAAGATATTTTTTGATGAAGTTCAAATTCTATTGATAAAGTTTCATTTTTTTTTTTTTTTTGAAGTTATTCCCCGCTTGTAATTAGTGTTAAAAAAGAAAAGTTAAAAATAACTAAAAAAGTTTAGAAAAAAGTAGATTTTTAAAATTTGTGAGTGCACTGTGAATCATTTTAACAAAGTAGTCCTTTTCATCCTGTTCAGGAATTTGGTAAAATTATTACATTCTTTAATTTTCTTGATCTGTGCAGATCAAGAAAGTTAAAGAATGTAATAATTTTACCAAATTCCAAATTGATCCAACAGATAACAGATCAGACCTTAACCTTTAATCAAATAAAAGTCTTGGAGGTACATAAGAAGTGCCAACATTTTGTCATCAATAGTTACATGTTGCTTAATGAGACCTAACTTGATTTTATATGGTGGCATATAGGGTTCTACCAATTGCTCTAGCTTTAAATTGTCCTTTTACTGATAGTGCTTCCTTAATGTCACGGCAGTCCTAGAGGCAAAGAAAACAGAAATTTCAGAAAAACACCATGGAGGACTTATATATAGTCTTCATACTTTGACGCACTCAGTAACATCTTGACACTGTTGTAATCTTCTTTGAGATAGTAAGCGTCTAGGGTAGGAATTTGACCAGGGCTACGTTTGAAAAAAAATAGCCGGGGCCAGGTTTGTGACTGGGGCTGCATAAATATTTTACATTTTTAAGGATATTTTATTTATTCAAAATTAACTTTATATTTTGTATATATATGCATTAGGGATATGACAATTTCATAACCCTATATGCCCATATGATAATTAGTGGAGGTTTTGTGTACAAATAACGAAAAAGTAAGTATTTTTCGTTTTGCTTAAAAAAATTTCACCGCCCAAATGAGAAAATGATGTCTAAGATATAATGTAAGTATATTCACATAAAAGTTGCATCATTTTACAATAACATTTTACATTTTACAATACATCACCAATAAATAAATATACCAGTATTTTTCTAATGTTTATTACTTAAAAGAAATTTAACATTCAACTTTTTAGTCGATCTGCAGAGTGAAAGCAGGTCTTCCATTACTTTAATGGCACGCTCGGCACATATATTTGAATGCTGGGTTGCTATAGGCGTAGGCTCCATTGACCAAAACTTCCTCAATGAGCGCAAAGCCTTAGGATACTCTTTACAAGCTTCTGACAAATTATCAAAGTCGGCAAGATTGAAGAACTGAGAAGAGAAACAGACTTTTGACCACAAACCACAGATGAAATCACATTCCACTTTTGCTGTTTGTCTAAACTCTGGCACCAGGATGAAACTAAGCAAAACATAAATGGCTCTTGAGACCCATCTTGCATTACTGATAAATGAAAGTGATCAGATATGCACTTTTGGGAAACTTCCTGTACTTTTGAAATATCTGTAGCATGATATTAAGTGATCAAGAAAGGACATGTCATCTCGCCAGCAATCCTGTTCTACTTTCTCCTGTTTTTTTCCTTTATTATCAAATGATTTCTTCAATTGTTCATAGTGTCCTTTTATTTATGAAATAAAGGAATAACAGATGTTTGGTGAATTCGTTTTTCCCCCAAAATGATCATTCATGACATGTTTCAATATCGTATCCAGAATATGGTGTTGATAACCAATAAACACAGGTTTTTCTAATCCAATATCTTTAAAGTGCTTCTGCAACAGTGTGACAGCTCCCAGATTTTTTCCAGTATTAGCTGCAGTTGTATCAGTAACAATCATTTTTCCTGAGGGCCATAGTTCATATTTGTCAAGCACAGTTTTTATTCCATTAAATATTGTCTCACCTTTTCCATTGTCAATTGAAGGACAGCAAGTCTGACTTCCCTAGTTTCATTTCTCAAAATAACTACCTGATTTTCCTTCAGTATATTCTTACCATCAAAGTGTAAACACCAGTGTTCATTTTTTAAATTTTCCTTGAAATTTCTTTTTAGCTTTTCTCCTTCCTTTATTACTGCTTTGTAGATGCCACTCTGAGTTGGAATAGGTATGGAAACTCTGCTTTTAGATAAAGTTTCACATACTTTGTGGTCCTTCCTTGTACTCAGTTTTGTTGCAGTTACCAAATGTACTGCAGAATCAGTTCTTTGCCATTTACTGGAAGTAGGTTTCGCATAATCTTCATTGCTACTATATCTTTGTTCTTCACTCATAGATTTTTCTGTTTCTGTAACTGTTTCCGAATCTTCTTCACTACTTTCTTCAATAGACTCTTGTATGACTGACACTCTTCTTTTAGGCATCTTCACTTTTCTTGGATGTATCCCCGGTGTGTCTTCTTTTGCGGTGCAATATTCTACTTTCCCTTTTGTTGAAACCTGCAGTTCATAAAACTCCCTGTCTCTGCACAACCATTCTCCTTTCTCGTCTGTTACATTAATCAATTTACTAAAATCATTGTTTCCAAGTCTATCATTACCATTCGCTCTTTTCTACATTTTACATCAGAAGCCAGAGTTTTAAATCTGTCGAAGATGTTCTACTCAATTGAATTCTTCGCATCTAATCAAGACTGTCAATGGTAGTACATTTTCTTGATTTTTTGCACTTTTGAAATTCCATTAGCATCAAAGACCAAATCTCCTTATTCTTCTCTGAAGGAGGCGCGTTTTTAGATCTAGTAACATTCATATTCAGTAAATAGAGAGATACAAACAATTAAATGTTAAAATGTTACCCTCCAAACTGACTTTATTTACTTGCAGGTTATTTGTCTTTACAGAACATGAAATTGCATTATTTCTAACTATATTGAATTATTATATTAACAAATGTTACAAAGCTCAGCATTTGGATAAGGCAGCCTACGTGTAAAATTAAAATGAGTTTGGAGGGTGACTTTTTTTCAAGGTTAAAATTTTTTAATGATATATTCTTGAAAGAAATGATAAATGTTCACTCATAATAATAGAAGCAATGAAAAATTACAAATATTTTTTTCTAGTCATATACCTAATATGCATATATAAACATAATTATGATCATCATAATCATCATTACCATCATCATCATCATGATCATCATCATTATCATCATCATTATCATCATCATCACCATCATCATCACAATCATCATCACTATCTTTATCATCATGGTCATCATTACTATCATCATTATCATTATCATCATCATCATCATCATCATCATCATCATCATCATCATCAGACTGTAGCCTTCTTATTTTATGCTGTTTCTCTAATATAAACATTCTAGAGCATTTTCTTTCCTTAAATAATGCTCATTCTTACAATATGTAAGGCACTCTCTTTAAGTTTCCTTACTTCTAGCACTCCTGAAGCTGCTAACTCTCTACATGCTACATACTTTCTTTAACAAACATTATTCGACACATTTTTTTCTAATATGTCTAAGATTATA